AGCTACAGTCAGCTGTTGGTTCCCAACTGCCAGGCCACCTAAACGAAGCATGAAGGCTTGGAACCTGCTAGGTAGCCAGAAGGAAGTTGAGGTGCAGCGTTCGAGTTGGAACCACGGAATTTCAGGTCAGTGTATTCGCAATCGAAGCATTCAGTCATAACGAAACCCGCAGAATCCCATCTTCCAATTCTCAGAAACAAGAAAGGGAGTTGGTGCTTCCGATGTCCTCTGCTTTGGCCAGGATATTTGTGTGTAGGAATTTTTGAAGACAAAGCATTCGCAGGACTATAACATTGATTGAAGATGTCATAGCGTTACGTAAAAGAATTCGGCGTGTCCAGTTGGGATGAAGTCAAGGTTTGCTATCGATTTCTGGACGCCTTCAGTCTTCACATTGCGTTTATCCTGTAGCTAATCCGGTAGTACAACCATTCCTGAACCATGTGGCGCAATAAATTAATAACAAATTCAAAGCACCACTTATCAATACCAATGGACACTGAAGACTTTGCAAGCCATTCATCGGCTCATTCCTAGAAAGTATCGAATACTATGGCAGAAATGTTTAGTCGGGTAAGACCGGCGTGCATAGAACAGGTTGGCCAAAAAGTAGTACAAATTGATGTACAACAGAGACGGACGCAATCTTCAGCGAATCTAACTAAGCGGTAACTGACTCAGTACGAAGACCCAAAAACAAGTAGATCAGGTAACAAGCCGGAGGCTCATGGAGCTGTTATAAAGTGGCACATATAGAGAAGAGCTTCAAGCGAATTAATGACTCAGTGGCGTGAAAGCCCCTCATTCGAAAGAACTACGATTTGAGTATCTAAAACGGAATGTACCGACTTCGTCGCATATCAGAGTGGGTGAGAAACGCAGACTAATCTCAGACGATAGTTGTGTACTCCGCAATCGTGGAACATGCACCGGACACAAGGCAGAGTTAGAAGACCCTCAACTTTGAATCGGTTATCCATATTTACACCACAGTAGCTGACAGCCTACGAGTTTTGAATCGCCAGCCATCTCACCATGAATAAAATGCAACATGCAGAACTAATAATTTCATGGTGCGTGGTTTTGGATCAGCCGAGTTAACACCTAGTTTTGTGAAGTTATCAATGAAGAGGGGACTGGCGTACAAGTCGTTTGAGCTTAGAGTACAAGGCCAAAGTTGACTGAAATTCCTCTGCTCTTCACTGACCCTAACCTCAGTTTTCGAGCACATTTCGGTGCACACAGTTGCACACAGTTTGTAACATATATCTCGATTGAAATTCCCTGACCCTGAGGGTAAAGATCGTAGGCCGACCTAGCTTGGATTCGACCTTCTCCTAAACAATCATTCTTAGGATTCAGCCACCCTAACTGACCAATAAGAGAAGCAGACTATCGTGTCGGTGTTAAGTGTTCAAACTACTAGCCAGGAGATTGCGGGTTCGAGACTTTCCGGAGTTTAGTGAGATGCGCACTGCTGATGATTCCCAATAAGGATGGAACAGCTGCACAGGGCTTCTCGGCTTTTCAGCATACACTGGCTTCACTTACTGAACGAAATCTCCACAAAAACCACAAAGCTACTCACATTACCAACATCCTCAAAACTTTTCCGGTTTACAACTTGATCGCTTTGCCTAACACGTCTTTTGTTTTCCACAAACAGCTTCTCAGTAGAATGTTCACTGATTTATCCACAAACCAGGCTGAACAATATAAGATTGAGCTCAATTAGGGATGATCGATTTGGGAAAGGTTTCCAGCGATGCAACTATAAAATTCTTGAAAGTTAGGGGTTGCAGTAAACAGTAGATTCACCCAGGATTTATCATCCTAGCTCATAAATGTCAGGGTAAGCCAGCTCTCAGCTTGCGGAGTCTTACATAACTGAACTAATTTAGATTAGATTTTCGTCCACCTGGGAGTCTAACGGAATTATGGTCGATGAATTAACGGTCTGGAAGGTGATTTCGATTGCGTTACTTCCACAAATCATTTATTAACTGTCCGAACCCTGGTGGTAAAAGATTACTGAGATGCCTGCTCGTTTTTGACCTTATGGTATCATTTATTTTGCCTGGAATGTGCCGTATGCTCCTACAAGTTAACACGTTCAATAGCTCACTGAGTTTCTCGTGGATTTAATGAAACGAAACCGCTCAACCGTACCAACCGGACCAGAATTAAAATGTCTCGAATAACTTTGCAACCATTATAGATACGTGCATACTGTTTGCACCATTCGTCATGAAATTAAATTCTACATCCAGAACTAATCACCAGAAGGCTTAGAAACTCCGTTGATACGACATACTTGGCCGCTAATCTATGTTTGAGCTTCAACTCCAGCCCCACTATCAGATTCTGGTTGAAAGACAAATTGCCACGTTCTACCACCAGCTTTTGTGTGTACTCATTCGTATGCTCGTGCCGAGCATCATACGTTGGTCGTACGACAAGGCATTTATCGGACAGAATACGAGAACACAATCCCATATCTCTGAGTGGTAGTGGAAAGAAACCAGGCTCAAGCGCGATTGCAGCACACTTGGCCGAAACCTGTCATATCATAGACAAGGAGCAAACGATTGGATGGAACAATCAAATCTACTGAACGATTCGACCAACCACATATGCAGTAACTCACAGGTCAAGCGACTATCAGAGTAATTTCCATCAAACACAAAACTTCCTGATCAAATTGCGGAATTGAAAGTGCGCCTTGAAGAACTGTTGAAACCAGGTTAGGGTTGTTGTAGTATAGTTCTTGCAGTATCAAATCTCAAACCGGACTCAAAGCTAGTTTTCGTGCCCAACCGTCCAGTTCCATACGCAGCTCAGTCGGTCGTAGAAGATGAGCTCAGTCGGTTGCTGGAAAACCATGAGTATCGATTACCATTACCCGAAGATTGGTTCACAAGGCTGAACGGTGGAAAGTGTTTTGCAATCCTGGATCTCGCGGATGCACGTCTGCAAGTTTTAGTGGCTGAAGTTTCTAGAAAATACCCGACAATCAACACACACCTGGGACTTTTTCCAGTACAACAGACTGCCACTGGGAGTGAAAACTGCACCAGCCATTTTCCAACAAAACTTGGACACGCTTCTCCATGACATCACTGGTGTCGCAGTATATTTGGCTGACGCCTTAGTTATGGGCCCAGATTCCACTGATTTGCTGGGCATAGTGGAGAAAGTCTTCTCACGTCTGAAAGAAGTAGAATTCCGTTTGCGAACGGAGAAGTGAAATTTTTCGCTGGAAAGTGTTAAATTTCTTGGTTTCATCGGTGACAACCGTGGCCGACGTCCTGATCATGATAATATTGAGGCTGTCAGGCAGATGGTGCCCCAAAAGATGTACAACTTCGATCACTTCTCGGCCTCGTCAATCATTATAGCACAGTTTTGTCAAGCCTTTGTCATCAAACAAGAGGTCCGCTGAACCAGTTAGTAATGAAAGGAAAAGAGTGGCGATGGACAAAAGAATGTCAAGAGTCATTTGATGCAATCGAGACAGCCGTCATCTCTGATTTACTCTTAACGCATTTTAATTCAGAACTGGAAATTATCGTGGCATCGGTCGCCTCCGATTATGGCATTGGAGCTGTGATTTCCCCTAGTTCTTTCGGAGGACAACAGAAGGCTGTCGCCCACGCAGTGTGATCATTGACAGTAGCTGAAAAAATTACAGCCAGATTGACAAAGAGGCTCTATCAATAGTTTTTGCTGTGAAACCTTTCCATAAAATGCTCTACGGAAGACGCTCCACGCTACTTACTGATCACGACCCAGTGCTATCAATAGTCGGGGCAAATAAAGGGTTTCCTGTTTCACTGCTAACTGTCTGCAAAGATGGACTACCATACTGTTAGCCTATGATTTTACTATTCACTACCGATCAACGCTAGAAATCGGCCAAGCAGATGCCTTGTCTCGCCTCATCTAATCCCATTCAAGGGAAAATGAGGACTGTGTGATTGCAGCCGTTAAATTCGAGTGCGAAGTTCATCAGATCCTGATTGAAAGCGTCAGAAGCTTACCAGTCACTGCTGAAAATACCAGCAATGAGGATATCATATTGGAAGTAATCAATTATGTACAAACAAAGTGGCCAAATGGTGAAATCTCCCCAAAGCCACGACCATTTTCCAATCGACGTGAGTTGCTTTCAAATGTTGACGATTGTTCAATGACGGGAGACCAAGTTGTAGCACCAACGACGTTGCGAAAACAAGTGATGCAACAAAACAGTCCAATTTGGGTTCAATTAGAACGTAAGGTTGACGGAAACTCGGGGACTGTGCCTACCTGATGAGCCCTAAGAAGGGCAAAATCGGTCGTGGGCTGTCGAAGAGTTTTCGGCAACCTTGTGAGTATTTTCCTTTGTGAAAAAGTGATGCAAAAGTTTCACTCAGGACATCGAGGTAAAACTCGTATGAAACCCCTGGCGAAAAGTTTCGTTTATTGGCCTCCAATGGACGCAGAAATAGAACAGTTTTGTCAGAAATGTGAACCCTATCAAATGGCGGCCAAGACGCCTCCCAAATGTCCAGAACGACCATGGCCGAATAGCAAGAAACCATGGGAAAGAATTCAGGTCCAATCAATGGTCAGTCGTTTCCCATTTTTGTGGATTAATTCACTAGATGGCCAGATGTATTCGTTTTGCGCAATACTACGGCAAAGTCTATTATCGATGAACTGTTAAGAGTATTCCAATATTTCGGTAATCGTGAGCTGATTATGACCGCCAATGGAACACAATTCACCTCAACCCACTTCAGATGGTTTTGCAAAGAAAATGGTATCGAGCAAAAGCTGTCACCATCTTATCACCCTCAATACAACGGGCATGCTGAACGATTTGTGAATAACTTTAAACGGGCTCTACTTGAATTGGGGAGAAGAAAAATGTCGGGCAAAACGATCCAAACTTTTTGACAGCTTAGCAAAATTCCCCAAACCCAAACGTTCCTGGAGGATAATCACCTGCAGAATGCATGATTGGACGGAAAATTGGGAATACTTACGACAATCTTATGCCCAAGAGGAAGGACATCGGAAATGCTTTAAAGAAGACAGACAGATTGCAAAAATTCCACATTGGTGACGGGTTTTACGCAGGAGATTTTCAAGGTCTCTAAAAATGGTCTACTGGCACTGTCCTGGGTAAGAAAGGAAATGTGATCTACGAAATCACCGTTGGAAAGGAAATTTAGACAAGACATTTCAACCAACTACGAACAAACCGCATGCAAACTCAATACTGGCAAGAAGCTGAAAAATTCTAGTAGAACATCTTGTTGGACACTTCCGGTATGGACGATGAAAATGTTTGACGTCTCGAGTTATCCCAGAACATGACAGCATTGCATAGTTCAAAGCTAAGACCCAATCGAAAACGGGAACGACCAAACTGGCTCCAAGTTAACTACGGTCAGATTCAAGCAGTCCGAAAACGGTTTCAAATTGAAAGGAGCGGTACTACGGCTGCGCATAGGTCTACTGTGCAGCGTAACGACCGTGTGAAACAGGACCGTGCGACTCGCCCACATGTCTGAATCACGTCTGATTTCATGTGCCGGAGAAAGGTCAAAAAGGGATACATGAAGGGATACACGAAGTTCACGCCCACCTCATGGCCAAAACAGCCCGTACACAAGTACATAGATGGCCATTTATAATTAACCGAGACAAATGAACAACCTCGTGAGAACCGGTGTGGGCGTGCAGTAGACACTGGTTTGGTTGACAGTTGATCGACCATCAAATACGGTCACAAGTGAATCATATATTAATACACTGTTTTTCTGGTCGCCTTCTTATCTTTTATTTATAACCCAGTAGCGTCAGGGAAAGTGAAGAGATACACCACGACTTTTTAAAAATCACACGTATTCCCTCTTTAACTATCCGTGGGAAATGACTTCTACACCATAACGCATAAATTAACCCACTTGTCAGAAATCACAAGTCGTGTTCTACCTTTGCTTAGAAAATACTCTCCAAAATTTCGGAACACCCAAAAGTAGCGGGAAAACAAACCGTTATATCACAATAGCGGAACAAGCATTAGTACATGGATGAAGCCTCTCAAATCGGTTCGGCGAATCCCACAACATCATTATCCACGTCGTAAATGACGGCAAAGTGACGCAGAAACGAGATGCCCATGAGCGCATTGTACGAGAAAGGTAGGTCTGCAGGTTGGATTGTTGATTCACATTGTCCGATGTCCAGCTGGTTGAACGAACCGAAAAATTTCCAAATGATCAGATTTACTCAACAACGCATAGAAGGAAAGTTTGGTCAATTTAAGTGGCACCTTATGCAACTAGTGGAAATCCCTTCGTAAAAATTTACCAGGCTATTTGAAGTGTCTAAATAATACAATAAATGTTGGAATACAAGATGTCCAGATTAATCCTCAATGAAGGCTTCTCACAAGTAGGAAAAAATACGGATCTGTTGGGCTACTCGACAAAATCAACTGGAAGACGGATCATATATGTGATCATAGAATAAATGTAGGTGGGTGAATGTTAAAACTTCAAACGTGTACAGGCTGTGGAACGTAAAATTCCTTGAAACTGTGCTTTTCGTGAAGTTGTGCAGAACAACCAGAACATTTCCGAAAAGATTTTCTGCTCCTGACCTGAAAACAGTGCAGTGCTTTGATTCCCCTGAATAATCCCGTTATACCCCAAGGCAAACAAACCTTTGGAAGAACTCATGGAGAGGATAAAGCGATCTCGGTCGTGGTGCGCATGAAGATATAAAACAGAATAATGGTGTTTAATAGGCTCACATTACACAGGAGTTCTTACCTGTTCAATGTATTGGCTCGGTTCCCATTTTAATTGGTGACCTTCGAGATTCAGCAATAGTGTGGGCATGAGGTACATCGCATCACACCGAACAAGTCGGCTATCCAAGTTCATTTGTTTCCAGATGCCGGAAAAAAGGCGATTGGCGAATGATGTCGGTAGATATGTTCTGTACGCTCCGGTGTCAAGCAGTGCTGAGAGGTCCGAAGCCAGAACGGTGCCATCTTCGTACGTAATACTGAGAACGACAGTTTGGTTTAATTTACTTCAATCTCAAAATCAACTTTCCTTGCCAGATGCTAACAAATGTGGTCAGTTATCTTCAGTAAATCCCCCGCAGTGCCAAATGACAACGTGAAAAGGGGAACATAAATTTAAATTCATTCTTGTCCACAAATCACACGTGTTTTCTATGCAACAGGGTCTGACATTTTGACATACGCATTGGCTAGGTAAGTTGGATCAAGAAAAAATAAGATCATATAAAAGCCGGCACCGTGGAAGAAACATCTGATATTAAGACAGTTACTCAGATGACAGTATGGCACTAGAACTGTGCTCGTTTAATTCAACGCCCATGTGGAGATGCGTTCATGGAGAAATTATTCTCTATATCTGATCCCAAAAAAGAATAGGACATTTCTTGAAAAATGTTATGCCTTGTAACCCAAATGAGTGAGAGTTTTCCCTGTTAGTTAACCTGATATTTATCCACTTCAATGCTACGTGTTACTGTTTATATTCCAAATGAATAAATCATATTTTAAAATGTTTACACCAGCCTTCAGAATACTCTGAACTATTTCCGTCTGAAACTGTATCTCCTATTTAATTCCATCAGTATTACTTCGATATAGTTTGTTAACTCGAATCGGCTCAGATGAAAAATTTTTGCATGCATGTCCGTGGTTTGAAATTAACCGTGGATTTTTCCGGTTGCTCCAAGCTACGACTGGATGACCGGGCGTTGTCTGAGTGCCATGCTTCTTTCAGGCTGCACGGCAGATCTGTACCGTACGGATTTTACAACTGAGCAAGTGTTATGCTTACGACGCATTCGTCGACGATTGTGACGGCCATGTGCACTGTTGACGTACATGAATCAAGCCAGTTGTCCGAATGGAAACTGGTCAGAAAGTTTTAACTCTATGAATATTCAAGTTCAAATATCGCAACATTAATAAAGTAGTGGATGCTCTTCCGCATGAAATCTGAATTCCAACCGGCGTACGGGCGTTCTGTTCCAAGTTAGTTCCAACATCTTAGCTTTGTTAGATGACTGTTTTTCTGCCATTCTGAGACGGATAAAAGAACGATCACGTGAAGGTAAAATGAAATATTGTGGTCAGAGTTCTGATGCTGTTAGGTCTGACAAGACATCGTGTGCATACACCCTGTTGTTCAGATTAGAAATCATTTGCAGAATTAACCGCAGCCAAATGTGAACACAGCCTTTGTGGGTGGACCCTCAATGGTTTTTAAGCCCCTATAAAATTCACGCGGATTCCGTCAGAACGCCCTCTCTGTCTAAGCCAAGCGCGCATCAACAAACGAGCATTGATTTTTTTCCCTCACTACTGCTGTCGAAACTTCTACGAGTAAATCACCAAGTTCAATGTACGTATCAAAATTCACTTAAGACTGGATCAATTAACGCATCCAAGCTGCCAGAAAATAATTCCCATTTATTTCCAAATTGATAATTTACTGATTTGTACATGGTTATTCAGGGGGGAAGAGTAGTGTCTGTTTACGGCATTTCCCAGGAGGTAGATCAGACTGCGGCTAAATTATCTGAAGAAATTGGAAAAAGTTTGGAACCGATTGAGAAGTCATCATTTCAGAAGAGCTTGGTAAACAATCGGTAGTTTTTATTTGGGCAACGTTTCGCTTTTGACACAAAAGCTTCATCAGGCCAAGTGAACAGGTCACAAAACTGGCCAGGTTATAAGACAGACGGGGAACCAATCAGTAAGTTCTCTTCAGACTAAATCAGTGTTGAGTGTCAATTAACGGCTCTTGTCGGCTAGTGTGGGTGCCAAAATCTTGAATCGATGTGTTGGAGGGTTCCAAATTAGTTCCGATCGCTTTCCGTTCCTTAATCTTCCACTTCAGAATGCTTCACCTGATGATTCGCCTCGGGTGCCGCTCTTAGATTTTCCTTAGTCTTTGTGGGGTTGTGAGTGTTCCGACAATTTAGTTTGAGGGGGGTTGAGGTCAAGTGGAATCCAAGTGATGACTACTCTTCCTACTGATGACCGCACACCAACACGTGTCAGCTCGAGTGACCCAAGACCGTTCTCCACACGCTAGCCAGTTCTACGCCCTTCATTCTGTTGACGCTGGGATGCTTGGCGATTTCTACCGCCTCGGCGATCAGTCTGTGTGACGTGGACCGTAGTCCTCGCCTCAAAACCTCAACATTTTCTAAATCTATTTTGTGTCCTGTGTCTAGTGCGTGTTCCGCAATCGCCGAGTCTTTCAGTAACGCTTGATATTCATCTGCGTTTCTCGGCGGCCTGTTTATTTTTCTACTATTTTATTTTATTATTTTTTTTCTACCACTAAATAAACAGGCCGCCGAGAAACGCAGATGAATATCAAGCGTTACTGAAAGACTCGGCGATTGCGGAACACGCACTAGACACAGGACACAAACTTTCGTTAAAATGTTCGTATCTAAGAAAAAAGGATTCATTGCTAGAAGTATCGATGATGGGAAGTTCTCCTGGTTTGGCTGAATGCAATTGCAACCGCCGAGTATTTGATTACGTGCAATAGTGTAGCTTTATACACGCCTTGAAAAAGACTAACAAAGCAGAGATGGGGGTTATTTTCTATAAAGCCCGTTGCAAAATGCAGGAACACGGCAGGGGGATGTTTGAAGTTAGGCAGCATCATTGAATGCATGAAATAGGTGCCGCTGTTGTACCATCATTTGCTTTCTGTTGTTGCTTTCCTATAGTAAATTGAGCATCAAAAGCAAAAACGGTTGTAATTATGTGTAATAGTTTGATTTTCCCGGTTCCAATATGCATAAACATACATTTTACTAAATATCACTTTCGAGTGAAGTGATGCGGTTTATTTAAACGTGATCCTGCGCTGATAGCCAAACGTGTCAGAAGAAAAAGTTTTCCTTTGCAGTCACGATATTTTCTAAATTTATTAGCCTCGAATTTTGATCTCTACTCAGAAGTGATCAAATGCATGTCGTTCTGTTAGGGATGGATTATTCAATATATCGGCATCAGACGAAATCCTCAGACTTGAAACAAACTTCACATGAAATACGATTAGTGTAGACTTCAGATAAGAATCCAAAAATGTTTTTAGGGACTCACCTTCTGATCTTGATTATCCATTCGTGTTTGTTTGCAAACTCCTTGGATACGGGAACATAGTTTACTGTCCCCGGAATGTGAGCCTTGGAAATGTCTCCGAATACGACTGTTCCAGATACTCCACCTCTATACGTGAGGAGAAATATTACCGAAATCTACGACAACATGCTCGAAAGTTACCATACCATCGTCTGTTGCATCAAAACACCTGCGTTTTCAACTTAACCAAGGCAGTCGTGTACGATGGTGTGGCGGTATTAGTCTCTCTACACATAAAGCCTATCACGGGTGCAGCACAAAAGGCCACATGTGAGACAAAACTCCAAACCTTCTGGTTCTGAATATATTATGCAGTATATTAACGCCTGGACTGGACGGGAGGGCTCAAAGTTGTGTCCGATGCCAGTCAAAATAGGCCGTTGACACATAAGCATAATAACTAATATCGGCAACGCAAGTGATCAAAACTATCCGGAAGTTCCAATCCCACTATCCGTACGTTAGCATTACGGCGGGAAGATCTCAGCAAATTTCTATATGTTGGAATATAGTTCCACATGTATTCCAGGTTTCGCGTCATCTGTAATCAAATTACAAAGATAACGGACAGGTTGTTCACTCAAATGACGAGTTATGACACCACCATATTTACTCCATCAGTCATAGGTAACTCACCAACTTTGGTATCCTCTAATATTGTTTGGGGTCACGTAATTCTCAGCTGGACCCACTGGGTCCCTGCGCGCATTGGTTTAGCTCCCAAGTTGAAGTAAAGAATATCAAAAGCTCTCTGTCGCTACGTCACCCTTGCTACGTGTCTGTGGTCCCACAGAGGTTGCGTTCCTATACAAACCATTTCTGACTTAGCTTTGTTTCTAAACCTACAAACGGAATTTTGAGTTCAAAACTTATTGCTTGAGGGTGATTTTTCCTATTAAACCATTATTTTGATGTCATTTGTGGCACCTTAGTTGCACCAAGTGACGGTTTTTGCATTCTTACGTCATCCCAAAATTGACTATAGTTTGGCAGACTGAACACATTCCATCAGGTGACAACCTGAAACAAGAGCAACGAAAAATGAGGAATGCGTAGACAAAATTGCCATCCAACGTCACAAGAAAATCGACGGGATATCCACATTTTTGGCTGGGGTTGAAGTCGACATATCCCGCTTAAGTTTGATATGATTACCACAAGTTTCTGATCACATAGTTGACACGAACCCACGGTGGTATAGTCTGACCCACGCAAAATGCGTGAGAACATCTGTTGACTCTGCGTCTTGCATAAATCACTCAGTTTGAGATGGTTTAGCCTGGCCGTTAACACTCTTATGATATCTTCCAAGCGTGCAGGGTACCCACTAATTTTATTTCTGGCTTTCTAAATGATTTCACTCGGCATCTGGTCTCCAGGATTTCGACAAGAAATTGGGAGAGGATTTATATTTGCACGGTTGTCGGAAAACTACCGTTTTGATTTACACACTGAAAAACTATTTGGTGATTGTCTTCACATTATTTCATTGCAATATTCAACTCGATTTGAGTAGCCATCAGCAAGTCAATAGGCAAATTTATCCCAGAACTGAATATTTCTGTCATTTTTTGCACGAGTCCCCCGAGGATGAACAAATTCCACTGAATTCTGAAACATCAAGAAGACTCTAGTAAAAAATTACACAGAGAACATTTGCGATGGACAGAAGCGATGGTAAGACGCCTTTGAATTTCGTCAACCTTACGGATAGCATTGACTAACCTACAAATGTTTTCTTCAAAGTGTCATATTTCTTCATCATTTTTACCCGAAAAACAAACTAAACTATCCAATCTTTCTCTGACAATGCAACTATATTTGCTGAGACAAGTTCTACTTCCACGTGTAGCCTGAAGCCTACATCCGTAATTATTCTGCTAGAGAACGTGAATTGCTTTACTGTGGCCATAACGGCATGGCATGTGATACGGTGGAAACTGGAAACATCTGTCTCGTCCAAGCGTGCTTCAAACACCAGGTAAGATTTAATTTTGTATAAATACTCTTGATTATATAGGTCATTTAACTTCCGCTTCATAAACAGTTGGACATACCACTCGATATATCATAAAGTTTCAAAAAAAATTAGACCACATTTTAATAACGTTATGTTCTCACATGACCGGAAGAATACTGTTGGCTAGCAGACTTCAAGATAGAAAAACTCCTAGGTGGTAACAAGAATCAGAAGGTGAGAGTTGTTCATATCTTCTGGTGTTTGGTTCTCATAATTGGTTCAAACCAGGCTGGATCCAATCTGCCAAGCGTCCCTGTTTCTGGCATGAGTTTCCCAATCACATAGTTATTGTAAAAGAAATCATGAACAAAGACTGGTCTTGCACAATTTGTTGCTTTTCCCAATATGGAGTATAATGGATCCAGAATTAAAACGAACTTCTCAGGTGACGTTTGAAACTTCGCATTTATAGCATAAATTCATTGATATCTTCTTGGTTTGTGACTTCGAGATTTTGTCACCCTAACGAAGTGGGCCTAGAAACGTTTCAACCATTTCATTTCGACCGGAAACTCAAATGATACCGGATGGATATCTTGTTTATGATAGCTTACATGAACCTTAGACTAAGAAAAGAGTCCAGTCAGACCCCTCCCTCCTACCTCGTCTGTAAAGAACGTCATCTGTCACCTTGGATTAGCCATGTGGAAATTGCTTGACAGTGGGTTTTGATTGTCTGAAAGCGTGCCAAGATGACAAAAATATGTTGTTCTTCTGCTTCAAAAATAGCTTTTGAAGCTGCTTCAACAAAAATACCTACCGTTTAAAAATGAAGGCAAATTGACGTTTTGGGATCACCTTCTGTGCATCCATATCATCCAGTGGAGTTGCTTTGAACTGTTTATAATACTGCTTTTTGGCAAGACCAAAGAGCCCGTCGATTGTATATAGTTGATCCACATAACCTTCTATCTTATTTATCGCAGAAAACTCCGTGCGAAACGGATGCCCGTTAAGCTGAAAAAATGATTTGGGGTATTCTGGAAAACAATCGCCCACTTACTTTCACCAGCTCAGAGAAAATATCGCCCGTGGCGATATAATTCCCGTATTGAATAGTAATCGATCTAGGTTTGCGGACGATTGACATAGAATCGTCGGGATTGTACGCACTCCGGACCATCGGTCGCTCTTGCGCTAGCCTCATACTAGGAACCCACAGAATCGGTGATCCGGTATCAAACATCAGTTTGAAATACTGCGGTGGAGACCCGATTCCCACAATGCCGTAATAAATGTAGCGCAAGAACAAGTGAGAACATGTTGGGTTCAAGCGAAAAACTCACCTTTGAATCGTAAAGTACCATTTCAATAGCCGGCCTTGCGCCTTGATATCTTTTACCTCGTTGTACTAACACGCTACTTAGTGATATACTGAAATCAATAATGTACCATTCGATAAAGCCTCACGAAGCTCACTTCATTGGTTCGACAGAGACCCAGCACATGACGACCATCAAAACAAGTTCCAACATCCTAAGTTAGCGATGCTCACTGTCAATTCGAATCAGTATTTAAACAAACCGATGGCCTTCGTACACAAATTCCATTGGACCACTACGAATGGCGTACGATAGTTAGCTTTTACGGGACTTCAATCAACATTCTGTGTGGTGAAATGTCACCGAACTATTGTCAGGGAACTGTAGTTTTGCTCCACCGTCACAGCTCTTTCAAGACTTCCTGCCTCATTTCAGCCAGAAGGTGTTAGAAAAAGCAAGCGAAACGCGTCAGTAGTTTCTGTACCGTGTTTGACAGTATTTGCAAACATTGCTCATCGAATAAATGTACGAATCAACACACTGACCTTTACATAGAGTGAGATTCCACTTTTCAAGGACCTGTTCATTCACTGTTGAAATTATCCTTGAATTTTTAAAAGGATACAGTAAAAATTTGCCGTTCAAGAACTGAGATGGTTCATGGTCAAACAACACAGTGGATAACGAATACTCGTAAAAGCTGAGAGCTATTACGTGTGAGCAATCCAAGCCCGTATGTGCACGCAAACACAGTAACTCTGCTCACATACGCAAACATCTAGTGGCCTTAGGGCCACAATGCCCTTCTGAATAGACAAATAATGCATTTTTATCTAACGCTCCCAGGCAATATACCTCAGGATTCTACCGTTGGATTAACTACTGAGTGACAGAATTATCATGCACACTCCAATTGAATCCGAGATACAGTAGCAAAAGTGACCAGTTGCTTCACTATATGTGTTGATAGGTGTAGTACTCCAAAACCTATCGGGGCAGTACTCTTGCACCAGAAATAAGAACTCCTAAAGATAAGGCCACCTAAATTTCACGTTTTCTGTAGATTAGAATTACTGTGTTTTATGAAGGTATTCATTCGGCCTGACGCAGTCGACAGCGTAGAATTTCAACTGACACATTTCCATAGTCACATTTTGCACTTCCCAAACAACGAGGCGGGATATTCAACGCGTTCGCTCAGAAGAGTGATCAGTATGTGTGTCAACCCACGGCAGTCAACTAGTCGATAAAGCGATACTCGGGTCCAATTCACCAGATTTCGAACTCAGTTTGACAGTTTCACTGCAATAACTTAGACCGATATTACACAGATATCTGAACAAGTCAGCGCAGATGATGCTAAACTTTATGATCAACGGCATAAAAGTCCACCGTGTACAATGAAGCTACACTCACTATAATTTAAACTAGTGACGTCGAAAGCGACTGACCATGAAAACCGACGATACCACGCTGGAGAAGCGAGTTCAACCTCTTCTTCAAGTCATTGCAAAGAAGGGTGCCCTGGGAGCACATACATGTCACAATTTGAACAGAATGAGTATCCAGTCACCTAGGGCAGTTTTGCATAGCTTAATGAACTCCGTCATATATAGCCAGCTGCTGGAAGTTCGAATGCCAGTATCTGCTCAGTACAGACCGGACTTTTATCGGTGAAATGTTGAATCATGGATTCTCTGACCAATGTATGCACAATGACCGAGTTGACTATCACATGTAATCTGACGACGGTGAGCAGCTGGAACTGCGAAGTGGAAGTGTCAATATCCAATGGAAACTTTCCAGAACGCACAAGGTTTCATTTGCCCATCGTATGGTGTTCACCCCAACAACGGAATGGGCCGTGATCTGAATGTCTCGTTGTGTGGTCTCACACGGGCTTGCAAGTTTCATCAATCCTTGCTCTCATTTGGAAACAAAATTGTTTTTGACAATAAACTCAACAGAATCCTTGCGGAATCCTTCTTTCGTGATAGTTATCTTCATCTGAATGTGCTGCACCCAGCCTCCTCATGTAAAATTTGTTACGATATTCGAGAAATCTCGGTGCACATCATGACGTCACCACTACTCACAAGGTTGCTGAGAGCTCTTCGCCAGCCCACGATCGGTTGCACACTTCTCGGCAAATTCCCTCCAGTTGACGTCACCATACTCACAAGGTTGCTGAGAGCTCTTCGCCAGCCCACGATCGGTTGCACACTTCTCGGCAAATTCCCTCCAGTTAGGGTTCAATTACAACATAAGATTGGTTCACTAGGACCTCGGGGTTTATATCTACCGGATGAAACCCAAAATGGGTGGAACTGGCAATCGGTTCTCGAAGAGATTTCAGAAACATACGAGTAATGTGTTAGATCTACATTCACCCCATCACAGCGAACGACCCGGAACCCTCATATTCACTTGTTTCGGCTAGCAGTTGACCTATTGCCTTCGGATCTTTCGCACACTGTCAATACGGGTGGCGGAATGGAACTAAGAGTACCATGAGTTGCTTTACAACAGCTATTCAAAATCCGCCAGCTCTCATCCTCAGTTAACACAGCGTCCCAATTCTGGTTACCAGCCCGAAAAAATTAGGTCCGAAAACACAATATGTATGCCACGAATACAATGAAATCTATAATAACAGTTTTCATTGAGTAACTTAAACCTGAACAAAGTTGAAATCCCCAAGGATAAATCCTATGATAAGAGTACAACATTAAAACGGTTAATATGCCATTACCAAAAGTGAGTAGCATTGTGATGGAAGCTTTTTGAATGCGTAAAAATGAACTCATACATGTACTCAATCAAAGGATGGACTCCCTTATTTTCTGTCGCAAAACAGCGCATCTAGTCACAAACCACTGTATCATGAACGTCATTAATCAGTTAACCCGGGGTTACAGCGCCGAACTCGGTATGAGTAGGCAAATGATAAACTTATGGAGGTCAGCAAAATCATTCTTTACAACGGTAAACTAAACATAACACTCCATTATCAATCGTCAAATTACGAGCGGAACCCAAGTGGCGCATTGACCCTTTAACCAGGAGACACCTTTTAATTAGGCCCGATGTAGTCAACAGATTTTCAAGGGGAAAATTGTTCCACCAAGGTTGTATTGTGTTCTTGACGTCTAACTTGGAATTTATCCCTGAGCAGTTAAAATGTGTTTCTCAAGGACGAATGTTATTTCCTGCCGTGTGTTACGTCACCAGGAATGCCCAGACCCTCGCTGACTTACCCAAATGAATGAATGACTGGGACTCGGTGCTGCTTAACTTCAAAAAATGACGAAACAACCATTACTTCGTCAATCACGGTCTTGAGTTTCTCGTTTCGAACTTGATGGATGTAGTCGCGATGACAAACCCCATAGGATTTAATCTCAGCAAAGGTACACACGTATAGAGAACAACACAAGAATAACCTGGCAGTGAGACACTCTTCAATGAGAATTCGTTCAATGCACGCTATAGGTTAACAGAAACAGTTCTGCGCAATCTTTCTAGTTGGTCCGAGCCAGAGAGTGGACGCAAAGACTGAACTCATCGTCAAAGGAAACCCACGGCCTTGTCGGGCATCCATTATGAGAGGCAAGACAACGCGGAAAGCATTTCCAAAATGGCGAATGATTTCGTGCTTCAGCGATGTGGTCGGTCCGCCAAACACCGAAACAAGTCATCAGTAACTGATCTGCTCATGTTGGTCAACCAAAATACCCTTCAAGATTTCCCAGTGATGTAGCGCCAGAGACGCTCCGAAACTGCCAGACGAATTTGATTTTGGTGAGTGAAAATCATTGAGGACTCTGCAATGTGCCTACACTACTGGGAACCTATAAGTAGCTCAAGGGATGAAAAAATTTCACAGGACGAGTGAAACATTCATATAGGAATCCGTCTCTCGAGGGCCTCCCACACGTGATCAAGTGATGTGGATTCCGTGAATTGAGGATGAGTGTGGCTGTATCGTATCTAAAAGCTAGTCAGTTACATTGCTGATCAACTGTTCTTAGTTAAACAGTTGAACATTCAAATCCCACCCGGGAGGTTACAGTTTCGGAACCACCTAGAATTTCTAGAGCTGAGCACTGCCTGAACTTGCAGAAAAGCATAGATTGCATTCATATCACTTTGATGGAGCAGGTGCTCTCTTGGGCGATAGATTATTGGCGGAAGGCTTGTTGTTGAGTTTGCTTTGTGTTGAGAATCCTGGCACTACCAGATTTGTGCGCTGTTGGTAAGTTCAAATGGAAGCGAAACTGGGGCCTACTGCACCCATTTTTGGTATGCATATTTCTGAATGATCAATTTCAACCAGGAGGAGAATTTAAAGCTGGCAGTGTCTTGAACGAAATCTTTACAGATCCCTCAGCCTTGTTGAAGGAACATTCCAACCCTTTTTAGATAATTATTTACGAGGTTTTTCAAATTGTAACTGAAACGAGACAATTGCGCTTCCTCCAGGTTCTTATGAAAAAAATCAGTAGAAGACACAAGGCGCTAAGGTAACTACGCTGCGAAATGCTACGCGCCTTCGATTTCAGAGCGTTAGGTGACCACGCAGCCAGTGAGGGGTTAGATTTGTGAACGGAAATTCGGGATGATGCCATAAACTGACGGCAGTCGAGGAGACTAGTGTAGCCCAGAATTCACTCAGCTTAATTATTGCTAACCTTCATGTAATTTCCAGAGGACCAATTTTTTTGACCAGGATGTGATGTTGGTCGGTATGTTGCTCAGAGCTAACTGGTTACTCTGGCGCTGTCAGCTTGACCATCTGAAAGTAGAATGAATATGACAGGTGCGAGTTGGGATCAGGCGATGACGAATTACAAGTTTAGACAGTCAGCGAGTTAAGGTCACGTGGCGAAAAAGGCAATAGGATTGACCAAGTAAATCGATTATG